GTCCTTCCATCAATTCCTTAAGGGGGCCCAACCCCGCTTTCTATATTTTTTGGTTAACCTATCCGTCTAAAGGCCCCCAACCATTTTTTTTTTTTTTTAATAAAGTTAAAAAAAAAACCAAAAAAAAACATTTCATAATTATTACTTTTATATTTAGAAGAATAAGATACCTTGTCCATAGAACTAGCCAAAGCTCTCTCGTTGCTTTTCCACTGTTCACGAGCATTTATTAATTTTGTATCTAACTGTGCGTCTTCTCTCCATAGCTCCCTTTAATTCAATTATATCAAGAAAGAAACTATTTAGTCCATATCGATAAAGTTTTACCATAGAAACAAATGAATACAAACTTTCGTTGATCTGTTAGTTTATCTCTTTGAGCTTTCAACTCACTATATTGATTATTCATTTCTTCGAGGTTCACTTTTCGCTGTTCTAACTTATTACGAGTATTCCGAATTTCCTCAGAAACTCTCTCAATGCTTTTCGTTAAGTCATTTATTTGAGACTCCAAATAATTGGCCTAATTATGACAAAAAATTTGATGTTAATAAGTATTCAAGTCCATAAACTAAATATTAATTTATTCCGGATTACCTGTTGTTGTTGGGTAGTCACTGTTTGATCAATCTCCTGTATTTCCGTTCCTAACCACGCGTCTCGTTCTATACGATTTCTAAATTGAGAGCTACGTCCTTGTTTAGCGTAGAGGGTTTGACGTTTCAGTTCGGCGTCTTCCAGTCTTAAGAGTAAATAGAAATAATCATATTTTAGCCGAATTCATATGTTTGATAAACAACGCACTTATTACCCACTCTTCTTTTAATTGAGTTTCCTGATTAACTTCATTAACATAAGCTGGTATTACTTGCTCTAATTCTACTTCTTTTTGTCGAATATTCATCTCAATATTTTTAAGCTCATATTCTCTTCTTCCCTAATTGTTATTCAATTTGAACTTAGTAATAATATCGTAACGAAATCATATTTTGTTTTATAATAATATCAGATTAATTCCAATACCTTTGTCTCTTTATTTTGTTTAGCTGTATCTTCCATATCTTTTAATGCCAATTCTATTTGAGCATGAGCCTTGATTTGTTCTTGCATATCCTCATCAAGCTCCCTTTTCTCAACATTAAGAAGATCAATTTTTCCTAAGAGTTCTGCAATGTCGAGTTCAATTTTCTTAAAAAAAACATTGATGTTAAAACAATGCTTTATCCATTTTTTCTTAATTAAAGAAATTTACAAAAAACTTACGGTGATTCTTTCTGCATCATCTTTGAATTGTTTATTTTGTTTATTTGAGCCATGGACTCCTTTTTCACGTAATTCATCCATCTTAAACGCGGGTTCAAAAAAATTTAGCTTTCATATCGTAATTGTAATAGTCTCAAAAAAAACTTATGAAACCTCATCTAGTTGTCGTCTTAAATCTAGTTGTTCACGATGATATATTGCATATTCTAAGCATCTTCTCTCACGATCCATATCTTGAAAGTTTTTTAATTCTTCCTTCTCTTCTTCAAGCTCCTCAAGACGTTCCTCAATGTATCTTAGAAGTTCTTCAATCTTAGATCGCTTGGAATCTTTTTTTTTAAAAAAAAAAAAAAAATACATTATGATTTGATGTGTTGTTAATTAAACTCGAATTAAATGTAATTCGTATTAACATGGCCGAGAATTACCAGTTTCTTCAATAATCTTCATACTTTCTCCTCTGCGTTGCTCATATACGCGAGTACCAGCAACTTCTTTTAATAATTGTAACCGTTCTGGATCTTTTGCATTTGTCAATGCAGTAATCTAAAAGTACAATATAATTATTGGTAACCATCACATTATTTTTTTGTTTTGTATTTCAAAAATATAATAAGCGGTAAAAACAAAAGTGCCGTACCCTCCCTTGTGGTACTATGTAATAAGGATTTGAACGTGAAAATCCTGCACTTTCCAGTAAATTCATTACATCTGTTTTTCTATAGAATTCAAAAGTTTAATTAATTTCACAGAAATACAACTAACGTTTTCAAGTCTCATTTGTGACATACGTTGCACTTTTCTTATCTAACGAATATTCATCTTTTTTCAACCCTATGGTACGACGCAAAACCACTTCATCTTTACCAGTCTATATTAATAAACACATGGTAAATAAACGTTGGAATTTACAGAAGTAAATTTATGGCAATTGAACAAAAATTAGTTTTCATCATAAAAATAGAAAAGTAAAAAAAAAAAATAAAAATAAAATAAAAATAAATCAGACAGGAAATCGATTGTCGCTATTATCAAATATAATTTCGACATAAGCAGACATAGTAGCAGGTCCGGTTCCTTCCTATATACAGTCAATAACCATACGTTCGTAAATCGAACAATATTAATATATCAAAAATTATGTCAGAATTAAATTTTTTTAAACCAATGACTTTTTAAATTCGAAAAAAAAATTCATTACGCTTAGCAAAATAAACATAAAGAAAACCCACATGGAGAAGAGCCTGACGCTCTTCGCGACCCATATTTGTGTATGCATCACTTAACACGAATCGGATTGCTAGAAGAAACGATATTAAGAAAAATTATTAAAAAATTATCATAATAAGAAAAATAAGAAAATTTTAATTCATTCCACTGAATTTTTTTCTCACCAGCGAAGAAATTACTTTTTCCGGATCCGTTTCTACCAACTATATTTGAATGACAATAGATAGCTTTATTTGCCTTTCTTCAAATAAAATATACGCGTTGCAAATCAAAGTAGCATACCAACAACATTATGTCTAGAACTGAATGGCTCAATAATAATTTGATCTTTATAAGACTTGAAGCCTTGTATAATAATCTGAAATATTGAAGTTTAAGTCGGTTAAAACTAACCTTCCTTAATAAAGCTAGCTTTATAAGGCTAAAACGCATAAAAAATGTACCTGCTTAATATGCATAGTAAATTGACATTGGTTACTTTTTCCAAAAGAATTCAGAATTTTTTCTATTCGTTCTTTTCGCGTTTCAATGTGTTTTATATGGCGATTTTTGGTTAGAACATGTGATACTCGGTCAGGCACGTGATTAACTACTTTACAAAAAATTAATCCATAAACGATTCGTTTAATTTAATTATTATATTAATAACAATTATAGCATATATTAAATTGAATATGACTACCTATATGTCATTTCAAGTGATGATTAGTTCGTATAACTTCTTATATTTATATATTTATATTAATGTTTTTATAAAGTATAATACGTCGTCTTATTAATAAAGCAAATTATTCCCGGGTAAGTAAAAGTTAAGTCATTCCTTTATATGTTTTTTTTCTTTTGTTAGGCGTTGGAACTTATAGAGTTTATTATAAAAATCTTTGAAAAAAATTGTTTTATCAAAATTTATAAATATGATATTATGTTTTAATATAAAACAAAAAATTATAAAAAAGTCGTTTAAACGAGAATTTTTAAGTGATCGTTATACCAAGAGTTCATTATAACGAGTTCTGACTGTATATGGGTTGATTGCTAGGAAAATCAGGTTCCGGGAATTTTTTAACAAAAATTGAGATTTTTATTGCATTTTAATTTTTGATGTCATTAGATTAAAATGCATTAAGCTCTTAACGTTAATTTTAGTCTCGAATCTGATTTTCCTAGAAATCCTCTCATATTGTATTTCGATCCTGCGAAAGGTTCATTCAATGTGGATGTAACACTTAAAGACTCATTCGCATTATTAATTCAATAGCGGATATTTTTAAAAGGAAACGGTGATATATCAATTTAATTATTTATTCGTTCATCGTGTTCAATGTTTCTATTATCCAACTTCTTTATAAGGCGATTACAGTACCCTTAGTTTTCAGGAATTACAAAAAAATTGTTTCAATGTTATGATCGTAATCGATATAAAGCGATCGATTATGAATTCGTGACAAAAAGAAAAAATTTCACATTAAAAGATTAGTTTTTTTTTTTTTTACTTTCCTTCATCATAAGCAGCCGCTAAAGCACCCCTGACAACCAAATCATTACTCCAATAACTTCTAACCACCAAAGTTTCACTCCAAATTTCAGGAACAATGGCGCCAGCATATTCTTGACCAATTTCCATGACTCTATCAACATAAAAAGGGAAGTTTAAAACACCGCCGGCGATTACTAAAACTTTTGGATTAAAAGTACAAAGGATATTAGCCACAGCGATCCCGAACACTGTAGCCCAATCCAATATGACTTTAACAAGTTTTTGATCGATTTCAGCATCATTATCTGAAGAGTTTGAAAGGACTTCTTTTGGAGAAGAATATTTGGAAAGTCGTTGAATTGCTTCTTCAACTCTAACACCAATTTCTTGAGTGATGATACGAATTAATGCTTTACCACCTGCTAATTGATCAAGCATCATCGTTGGTGGTGAAAGTGTCGAACCCATCGGTTCGGTGATGTAGTTTTTTACATATTTAGCGTAATCTTGTGGGAGAAACATTGGAGCGATACCAAGATTTCCTGCTGCATTTAGATGACCTCTAACAATTTGTCCATTGCACAAAAAGGCTGTTCCGATTCCAGTACCTTTAATCACACAAGT